CTTGAGAAGAAAAGATGGTTTTATTAAGATTTTCCCTCCTTGGGGCGCCTGGGTGGCTCAGTCATTAAGCATCTGCCTTCAGCTCAGGTCATGATCCCAGGGTCCTGGGATCGAGTCCCGCATCAGGCTCCTTGCTCAGCGGGAAGCCTGCTTCTCTCTCTGCCTGCCACTCCCCCTGCTTATTCTCTCTCTCTCTCTCTGACAAATAAATACAATCTTTCAAAAAAAATTTTTTTCTCTCCTTGCTCCCCATGCCCCTCCCCAAAGTAGTTCTGCAAAAGAAAGTGATGTGTTGGTGAGCAGAGTCTACACATTTGGATTTGTGTCCAGGCTCTGCCCTTGCCCTCTATCCACCTTCACCTGTAAAACTAAAGAGCTAAAGCATAACCTGTCAGTCTGGAAATCATAGGGTCTGAGAGTGGTTAAAACCATAAGTTTCAACTCAGGAAGACTAGTTGTGAACCCTGGCTCTGCCACCTGCTTGCTGTGTGACTCAAGCTAATTACTTAACTTCACTGAGCCTCAGTTTCACCTTCTGTAAAGTGGGTGTAATGATCTCTACTTCATGGCATTGTTACAAAATCCAATAAAACAATACACATAAATTACTTAGTACACAGTAAATGCTTAAAAAGTGGTCGTCACCACTACCAGTAATGAGACAGTGGGACAGGTACAATTATTTCCCCTTATAGTCAAGATACATGAGGATCAGAAAGATTGGAGGACTTTATTGGTCTAGAGCAGGCCCAGGTATGGATGTTTTTTTAAAAAGCTCCCCAAGTGATTGATTCTTTGAGAAACTCTGCCCTAGAGAAACTTCCACACGCATGCCAAAAAATCATACAAGAATTTCACTGCCATGTGTTTGTAAGAGAAAAGGACTTGATTTTGGCTCAGGTCATGATCTCAGGGTCGTGGGACTGAGCTCCCCACTTAGCATGGAGTCTGCTTGAGATTCTCTCCCTCTCCCTCTGCCCCTCCGCTTGTGTTCTCTCTCTGTCTCTAAAACAAATAAATAAATAAATAAGTTTAAAAAAATAGATTATATTACCCATGCCCTGAAGCCTTAGTCATTCTCTCCCCTGTCACTTTCCCTTCCTTCCCTCCCAGAGATAATCACCATCTTGAATTTGTTGCTTATTACATCCATACCATGGCCTCTTGTTTTTAACCATACGTATATACGTATGGTTATGTATAATACGTATATACGTATTATACATAAAATAATAGTGATGTTCTGCATGCTTTTACATGTTATATATACATTGTGTATCCTCCTGCCTTTTTTTTTTTTTTGGTTTGGCATTATATTTTTAGAGAGTTATATTCATGTTGATACAGTTAGTTCTGGCTCAGTAATCATACACTGCTGTGTCATATTCCACTTACAATTTATTTCCCATTTACCTGTTGATAGGTATTTGGATCATTTCTAGTCCTTTTCTTTTTTTTTCCTTTTTAAAGATTTTATTTGTTCATTTGAGAGAAAGAGAGAGAGAGAGCACAAGCAGGGGGAGAGGCAGAGGGAGAAGCAGACTCCCTGCTGAGCCGGGAGCGGGATGTGGGACTCGATCCGAGAACCTGGAGATCATGCCCTGAGCTGAAGGCAGACGCTTAACCTAGTGAGTCACCCAATATGATATTTCTTAAACTGGGGGGCAGGCACACAGGTACCCATTTTATTATCTATGCCTTCTGGATGTCTGAAATACTTCATAATTTAAAAATAGACGTGCATAAAAAATATCTAGTATAACTGTGCATGGGAATTTTTTTCTTATTGTTTACTTGTACCTTCTTATTATATCTGTGATCCCATTTTGGTTTTAGGAAATAAAATAGTTGTAATTACACTGTAAGGTGACGGACAGTAACTGCACTCTCCGTGGTGACCACTGAGCGATGTCCAGAATTGTCAAATCACTCTGTCGTGCACCCAAAACTTATATAATATTGTATGCCAACCATACTTCAATTTAAAAAAAAAAGAAATAAGGTAGTTGGTTATTTTGACTATTTAACAAGAAAAGAAGCAGTTATGTTTAATTTTTTTGAAAGTAAGAAAAATCACTTCCCCACGTGATTTGCTCTGGAAACAACACTTATTTGCATGTCTGAGATCATCCTGAATCCAGAGCAGGAGCCCTGGGCCCAAGGACACCTCCAGGTCGGTGTTCCCCCAAACCCTGCCTCTTGGGGATGCCCCAGGCCCTGGGGCCTGACCCAACTGGGTATGCAAACTGAAGATGTCAGTAGTCAGGGAGAAGGACTGCGGGGGCGCTGGGAGGGGCGCGGGCCTCTTTGACAGCAGTTCTAAGGTAGAAGGAGAAAAAAAAAATTCAAGCCGGCTGGGAAATTAGATGCACCTGGGAGTAGGGAGGCGGGGACCAGTGTGGTGCATTTTCTTTTACATGAAGTTGCGTCATTCCGGAGCCATTTCAAGGCAATAGAACCTCCAGTTGGGGAGTTTTGTGTTTCTTAAGCAATAGAATCCGACTCTGCCAGCAAGCAGCGCTTGACTGCTGTTTCTTAAAGATGTACAAGGGTTTGTTTGGTTTGGTTTGGTTTTGCATAATGGACACATTTCCCAAGCAGCCACTTTCCAGGTTGTCAAGTGTCAAGATAAGCTTTTAGAGAACTCCTCCGTGGGCCGCGAGGAGACCATTTCCACCCAATACGGAATGCTTAAGGTGGGGCAAGCCAACTTTTGACTATCGCTTCAAGGACCAAAGTATTTTGTGCATTCAACGCAGCTGAACGCAGACGAGAAAATTGAGATCTCCTGACAAAGAGAGTGTATGGGGAACTGATGCCCGGTGAACTACTGTCCCCTGGTGGCCATAGGCAGTGGTGCGATCATCTGCCGAGAGAGGCATTTGTGATGCTCCTTCCTGTGTTCCCCGCCACCATCTCCGGCCCCTTTTAAAAGCCTAAAACAGGGATTACGATCTGGCAGCCCTCCGTAGCCAGTGGGCAGATATAACAACTGTTTAAAAATGTGGAGAGTTTGCTTAAAAATCTAGGCCTGACATTTCTTTTGAAAAATTAGAAAATCTGCCAACTTTTGGACGTAATACATTTTGTTTGTTTGTTTACACAAATGTGGGCTAGAGCTTAGAAGCTGCTGCCCACTTTGGATAAGGCAGGTACTGTCACCTTCTCCACACTCCCCACCTCCCCCTGTTGTCTCGTGCCCAGGTAGTTTAACTCGTAGATTGTTCTTGTGTAGCTTCTGGGTTTGCTACCTATCATTCTAAGCTCATTGAAGAGGTGACACTGGCACCTCGAAATGTGGAAAGTGGATGCTGCCTTTATTTCTTTTAATTCTTTTCTTTTTTTAAGATTTTATTTATTTGAGAGAAACAGCGAGTGAGCACAAGCAGGGGTGAGGGGCAGAGGGAGAGCAGGGAGCCTGACGCCGGGCTCGATCCCAGCACTCTGGGATCGTGACCCGAGCTGAAAGGCAGATGCTTAACCGACTGAGCCACCCAGGTGCCCCCGGATGGTACCTTTATAAGCAGATGATGACGTCACCTTATGCCTGGGAGGGGCAGAAGTCCACAGGCCCCAGGATAGCCAGTTCAGTGGAGTAAGTGACCTGCTCCAGGACACACAGCTTGGGGAACGGTTACTAGATACAAACAGGAAGCACAGCCAGAGCTGTTTGGTCCTGCACCTTGCAATGCCCCCGCCCCCGTCCCCCCATGGTGTCTTTTCCGACAGCACACTCCTGGCTGTAGGTCAGTGGCTTCCCTAAACTGGAAGCAGACTGAGACATGAAAGGACATGGAATCATTCCCCAGTGACTGGAGCCACCTGTAGCTCTGACAGTTTATTCTGTGAATAACAAAACAGCAATAACTTTGTGTCTTGTCTAGGAATAACTGCAACAGGAGATACGTATCAAATGTTTGCTTTGTGCCAGACATGTAGGCTCTCACTTCCCCCTCACACAAAACCCCATGAGGTAGTGTCACTGCACTGTCCCCGTTTTACAGAAAAGCAGATGGCACCAGTGACATCAAGTCACTTGCTAAATGTAACTCCGTTTTCAAGTGGCTGAGCTGGTACTAGAACCCAGGGCTGTGTGGCTCCGGTGGTGACACCCACAACCACTGCCTGATAGCGGCTCCCAAGGGGAGTGTCATGGAGGAGGTCAGATCTTGAAGAGTCGGGCCTTCCGCAGATCCTGAACTTGAGGCCAAAGGCGAAGTCGGCTGTTTGTCCCCATTTTACAAATGGAAAAACTGAGGCTTGGAATAACACCCAAGGTCACACAGAGCTTAGGTGACAAAGTCCACATTGAAGCCGGGGTCTCTCTGCCTCCAGAATCAATAGGGCTAACATCTTAACGCTTAGCATTCCTGGATGTTGCATTTCAATATTTGTGAAAGAGGTTGGAGGTTTCAGCTCTCTGCTTCAGGGGAAAATCCCAGTCTCTCTGGGAAGATAATAAACCAGCCAGTTCCTTCTCGAGTGGATGCAAATTAAAAAGTTTGGGAGGAAAGGGAAAGAGAGGTGCGAAAGGGGGGGAAGGGTCAACCCTGGTATCAGAGAGTCAGGACTAAGAACAGGAGCTCTGAAGTCAGACTAACAGGGTGCGGAGCATCCTCATTTTCCACCTAAGGAAACGGAGGGCCAGGAGAGTGGCCCCCAGACGAGGAGCAGGACAGCACTTCACGGCAGGCGGAACTGCGAGTTTCCGGTCGCGGAACCTCCGGAGCCCCCAAATCGCCGCCGCGCGGGTTTTCCGCCCGCTACTCCCGCCTGTCGCCGGGCCCCGCCCCTCCGGTTGCCTATTGGCTGCTGCGGGCACGAGACCAACACAGGAGCCAGCCAATGGGGGTGACCCACGGCGCGTCTTTCCCGGGGAAGCAGACACAGGAGCTAGAACCCGGAAGTGCGAGGGGAGGACAAGTCGGGGAAACCAATCCGCCGCGACGAGGATGGCGGGTCGACCAATGGCGAGTCGCCGGGGGCGGGGCCACAAGGCCGGCGGCGGCGAAGGGCCTGGGAACGGGTGGCAGCAGAGCCTCCAAGTCCCTGGAAGGCGGCGGCAGGGTCGGGCAGCAGCGCGCGGTAGGAGGGGGCGAGCCCTAGGGGCTCGGAAGGAACGAGCTGGGCAGGGAGCAGCGGGGAAGTGAGCCCTGGGCGGGATTCAGAGGGACCTAAGTCGAGCCACATCGCCCCTCTGGGCCTCAGTTTTCCCCTTCCTAGGGCAGTGAGGAGTGAGACGTTCGCATCTCGTGCCTCCCCCCGCGCAGACCCGGGTCCCTGGCGAACTCCAGCCCCGCCGCGGATCCCGTCCCTCCGGGAGCCTCCCAGGGCACCTGGACGAAGCAGTGACCCATACCCTCTTCTAAACCCCCACAGCACGCCCAGCGTACCCCGGTTAGAGCGCAGACCAAGCCATTTCAAGTGTATCAACGAGCCAGGCTCCCCCATTAGACTCTAAGCCCTGGGCGATCAGAAACCTCATCAGTCTTTTCTGGGCCTTGGAGGCCCAGCACCAGGAGCAGGCTGGAGCAGGGATGCATGGGCCCTGGTTGGGAATAAGGTAGAGGTTAAGACCTGGGTACTCTTCCCAGAAGCACTGAGAATTCATTCTTGATGCTTCTGTTTACTAGCTTGGCCTTCTAGAGACTGACTGACTGTGCTTTAGTTTCTCTTGTCTGTAAAATGGAGTCGGGGGTATCTCCTTCATAAGGTGTTAATGATTGAGATAATGCGTGGCTAGCACTCAGCTTAGTGCTCAGTACACCATAGTTGCCCAATAATTGCTTACTGTTAGCATAATGGTGCTTGCATACCTGATCCCTCCAGCCCAAAGCACATGCCCACTGTCATGTGGAGGGTGAGTGCTCACCCACTCTGGCCCACAGCTTGAGTTCCTTTTGAGATGCTTGGACTGCCCAAGCTCTAGGTAAAATCCTTACTGGACAGGTCAGGGAAGGAAGGCCAGAGAGGGGAGCAGCACTGTGGCTAATACCAGGATGTGGGCACGAAGAGGGGACCACCAAACAGTTGTGCATATCAAAGGCTAGCCCTCAGAACTGCCTTGGCCAATCTGGATATGTGTGTGGGCACAGATCTGTGGTCAAGGGAGGGGACTTTAGAGCCATGGGTTCCTGAATTCAAGTCCTAAGGCTATCACTTACTCACTGGGTGACTTTGGGCAAGGGGCTTCATCTCTCTGAGCCTGTTTCCTCATCTGGAGAAAGTGGGATGACGGTAACATCAGCTCCTGTTGAAGACTGCAAGAGATAGTATGTGTGAGGTCCTTGGTGCTTACCAGGGCCTGGCACACAGTAAGCGCTCAATAAATGTTGAAGGCAGTGGCATTACTTTTCAGAGTCACGGTGCCCTGGAAGTGGCACCCGTCCTCCAGGCTGGCCCCTCCCCATTTAAATCCACTTCCTGCCTTGCCCCAACCCCTGGGTCATAGTGAGATAGGAGGTGTGGGGGCCTCCAACCCCCCGCTGAATTCAGAAGCCTATCTTGGACATGTCTCCTTCCCCGGCCTCATCTACAACTCTTGGTTCCCCGCAGATCCTGCTCTCAGGCAACTGAATATGTGCAGGGGACCCACCCCTGAGTCCAGATGACACTCATGCTGATGGCTTCAGTGATGGCAGTGACTGAACCAAAATGGGTCTCCGTCTGGGGCCGCTTCCTGTGGGTGATGCTGCTGAGCATGGTGTTGGGGTCCCTGCTGGCGCTGCTGCTGCCGCTGGGGGCCTTAGAAGAGCAGTGTCTGACTGTGCTCGAAGGCTTCTACCTGCTCAGGAGCAAGTTGGACAGGGTGCAGCATGCCGTCACCAAGTGTAGCAGCCCATCCACAGAGCTCAGTGTCACCTCCAGGGACACGCCACCGCTGGCGGTCAAGACCAAGGCCTCTCCAGGTAAGGCAGACCGGCCAGCTCTCCTCACCACTCCTTAATTGGGTAAGTCCGCCCCAAGCTCCCAGCCTAGACAAGCTGACAACTGGCTAAGATAACAGCATCACCAGCGCAGTGGTGGGAAACCGGGCACACCAGGCGGGCTCCCTGGAGGGAATGCCTGAGCTGAGACCCCAGTGTAAATAGGAAAATGACCCAAAGGAAAAGGCATGAGAGGCAAATGCACCAGGTGGAGACCAGAGGATGAGAAAGCCTGCGCATGTGACGAAAAGCAGCCCCTTGTATGGGTGGAGGGGCTGATGACGGAGGGCTAGATCTAGAGCAGTTTCTCTCCCTCCACACGACACTCCTCTGGGTTGCACTGTAGGATACTGAGCAGCATCCTTGGGCTCTACCCACTGGATGCCAGTAGCACCCCACCCCCCCCGCGACAACCCAACATGTCTTCAGACACTGCCAGCTGTCGCCTGGGTGGGGGGGTGGGGGGGTGGACAAAATCACCCCTGGTTGAGAACCACTGGGTTGAGATTTAAAGAACAGCCCAGGGATGGGGAATCCTCTGGAGCCTAGCACTAGGGGGCAACTGTTACCAGCCCATGCCTGAAGGGCCAGGGGCCAGGGCCAGCATCACCAGGACTGAGCCAGGACTGCAGAGAACTAAGAATATGGGAGAGCCACCTAACAGGAGCTGTGGCCGCAGCCACTCACTCGGGCACTCAGAAGGCAGGGGGCCAGGGAGTCCAGGTGGTACTTCCAGGGTACAGAGAATGGCTCTGGGGACACACAAAAACCAGCTGCAGGGCACAAATGCATCCATAGTGTAGAGTGAGCAGAGGGATTGGAATGAGCCCCCCTGAAGGGCCAGCACAGAGGACAGCTCTCCTGAACATCCTCTGCCCTCCCCACTCCTGCGCCAACACTACTTTGGCTCTTTTCTAGCTGGTAAGTTGGAAGCCAAAGCAGCTCTGAACCAAGCCCTGGAGATGAAACGCCAAGGCAAGCGGGAGAAAGCCCACAAGCTCTTCCTGCACGCCCTCAAAATGGACCCAGACTTCGTGGATGCGCTCAACGAGTTTGGCATCTTTTCAGAAGAGGACAGGGACATCATCCAGGCGGATTACTTATACACCAGAGCGTTGACCATCTCGCCCTACCATGAGAAAGCGCTGGTCAACCGGGACCGGACGCTGCCACTGGTCGAGGAGATCGACCAGAGGTATTTTAGCATCCTCGACAGCAAAGTGAAGAAGGTCATGTCCATCCCCAAGGGCAACTCCGCGCTGCGCAGAGTCATGGAGGAAACCTACTACCATCACATCTACCACACAGTCGCAATTGAGGGCAACACCCTCACCCTCTCGGAAATCAGGCACATCCTGGAGACTCGCTATGCCGTGCCAGGCAAGAGCCTGGAGGAGCAGAACGAGGTCATCGGCATGCACGCAGCAATGACATACATCAACACGACGCTAGTCTCCCGCATCGGGTCTGTCACCATCAGCGATGTGTTGGAGATCCATAGGCGGGTGCTCGGTTACGTGGATCCAGTGGAAGCTGGCAGGTTTCGGACAACCCAGGTCCTCGTGGGACACCACATCCCTCCCCATCCTCAAGATGTGGAAAAGCAGATGCAGGAGTTCATCCAGTGGCTCAACTCCGAGGACGCCATGAATCTGCACCCAGTGGAGTTTGCGGCCTTGGCCCATTATAAATTGGTTTACATCCACCCTTTCATCGATGGCAACGGAAGGACCTCGCGCCTGCTGATGAACCTCATCCTGATGCAGGCGGGCTACCCACCCATCACCATCCGCAAGGAGCAGAGGTCCGAGTACTACCATGTACTGGAGGTCGCCAATGAAGGCGACGTGAGGCCATTCATCCGCTTCATCGCCAAGTGTACGGAGACCACTCTGGACACCCTGCTCTTTGCCACAACAGAGTACCCGGTGGCACTGCCCGAGGCCAAACCCAACCACTCCGGGTTTAAGGAGACACTGCCTGTGAAGCCCTAACCCTGGAAATCCTCCCTTGGTGACAAGGGATGTCCCAAGGGGGGGGAAACCCTTAGCATTTCTAGAAACCTAGTTGTCTCCTAAAGCAAATGGAGACAGAAAAGGAACTTAAAACGTTCTTTACCTCCAAATGTTTTAGTTAAAAAAAAAAAAAAAAAACCTAAATTATTAAGCCTTATCTCTAAGGTAACTTATAGTTCAGCCCAAGTTATTATTTATTTTCCTCTTTGGGGCCAGTAAATGTTGTGTGGCGTCTGTCTGCGCTGGTGTCCCTAAGGAGGGAGGCTTTGGGAGCATCAATGCTGTGTGTGTGACCAGAACACAGGTTCTGGAGCAGAATTTGCACTCAGGTGGGAAGAGGCCAGAAGTGTGATAGGAGGTCCAAAAGCCATAGGAGGAACTCCTCCAAATGTCCTGTGACTTGACCTGAGAGGTCAGTACTCTTGGGGAGAACCTGGTCCCGGTTTTGAGAAATGACTGAAAGCTTGCTTCTACGAAGAGGTTGGCGTTGTGACTAATTCTCACTGGTAGACCAGCAAACTTTTGAGAGATGAAATAAAATTAATGTTGACAACATTTCTAGTTAGATACCTTTCTCATTTCAAGGAAGTCCTTAAGTCATAGTTAGCTTGCACACTCTAGTGCCAGAGGCTGTTATGTTCCCTTATCAAGACTGTTTTTCTAATTAAGAGAATAGGGGAGTGGCCAGCTTGGTTTTCTCTGTGTATGAAATGTTTCTCGCACTTCGTTTGCAGCAACTCAGACCAGATGTTTTAGTCTACAAGTTCTCTGGGTTTGTCACGCAACTAAATCCTACTGCAGATCAGGTATTGTTCAAGTAGCCAAGTCTGCCCTCACCCCCGACTCTTGAGTTGAACATCTCGTGTAGGCAGATATTCAAGAACACATCCGAGAAAACAGTTGCCACGTAAACACCAAATTAGCATTTTTGATAATGAATTAGAGGGAGTTTCTACCAAACCAGGAAAAACCTTTCAGCCAGGCAGGATGTGCCCCTTTTGTCATGCAGTCTTCTCCACTTACTGACTTGACCCCCACCTCCCCCAGCCCTTGTACTGTCTCGTGTCCCCTCGGGGAAGCAGAAGAGATTGCCTTGGAGTGGCCTTATTTTTCTAGCATCTTGTAAAATGATAAAATGTCCTATGTGATACGGCCAAGTTTCCAAGTCTTCATTCTATGGGAGAAGACTCTTTATCAATAGCATGTCGGTCCAGGTGCCGCGATGACCACTGCTGTGCTGCTCAGAGTCCAAAGGGCCACGGGTTCCTTTGCCAGTGACAGGGCCCGGGGACGTCCAACGCTGTCGTGCACTTTGTCAGGGTCGGAATGGTGGTGAACACATACAAAGTGTAGTCTCTGACTTGGGAAGTCATACCCTGATAGGAAGGAGGTCACTCTTCTGAGGTAGCAGATATTTCTAAAGTTATTTAACTGTGTAACAGGCACAGAGTAGCTTTCTGAAAGATTAAGAAATCTTTGTGAAGTGGCCCCAAGGGATAGTTATTCAAACCTTTATGAAAAATATTTGCATACTCGTATGCTGCCATACAAGTTCAGGGCAGAGGGCTCTCTGCCCCTGAACTCTTCTATCGTCTTGGTTTTATAAGCACACCGAGGAAGCCTGACAGAAGTGCGTGATTTGTACGAGAGAGAAACGTGCACTTTAGCTCTGTTGTGAAGGATGTTATTTTAATAGATTACTGACTCTAATAAAGTATTTTATTACATAAAGGCCTGAGACTTTGCTGTCTTATTCAAACGATGTTCCCATCTGTCACAAGGATGAAGGAAGAATCCTTTCGGAACGTTAAGCCCTGTTTGTACTATGGTATGAGGCGCTCATTTCGACAGGGAGGTGAGACGGAACTGTGGGGGTAAGCGACCTACCTGCGCTGGCAGGCCTGAAGCACTGGTCTTCCGCTAACACGCCAGTAACACAAATGGTGATTCGTGCTTCTCTCTACCATCAGTTCTTGATTTCCTGGGGAAAACACATAAACCCACTCACATGTTCCTGACAGTCCGTCTCTAGGACCGTCCACACCCTGAGCTCAAGTCCGAGCGGGTTCAATTCTGTAATGAGCCTGTGTTGACACGAGAAAGCATGAAGTGAGGGTAGAAGACTGGCCAACCCTGAGAGGAACGGCGAAACGTGCAGCAGCAGGAAGGAAGCCACGGCAGCCTGGACAGGTGAGGAGATACTCAGGGTTCCTCGGTGGCAGTCCCTGCTTGTCCCCAGTCCGCTCGCCCAACCAACAGGCTTCCAGGGGGCAGGGCTGAGTGCCCATTCCAAAGAACACAGGAGGGATCAGGGTTACAGCACACTTCTTCTGGCCACTACGTGAATTTAATTCACAACTAACACCTAACAAAAAATACCTTGTGAAACAGACAAGGTAGACGGGAACCAAAGGATTAAAAGACTTCAGAGGTTTACCAACCAATCCTAACTTCCTGGGGGAGGGGGGATGCACTTACAAAACAACAGGAGACTAGGAATTTGGATAGTTGAGGACTTGAAGGCATTATTGCTCATGTTTCTAGGAGTAATGATTAAACTGTGGCCTGGAGGGCCTTATCTCTTGGAGGCACTCGCTGCAGCACCCCCCCCCATGGGATGGGTGCTGCTGCCACCATGTCTGACACAACCCACAACGTAACAGGGAGGGCGGGGCGGCAGAGAAGAAGGCCCCTGTGCTAGACAGGGATGCTGAAGCTCAAGGACGGGCACTTGAGTTCCTTTTGCTCTTTTGTCAATCAACACTTTTGGATGACACTTCCAATTTCCTGTTAAAAATGTAGTAAAAGCCTGGTGCACAAAAACTTAAAAACCAATTGAAGTGGGTTGATTTCTAGCACACATGAAAGCATTTCCTGATTTCTTCCCCCAGAGTGTCTTTATAAAAAAGTCCTTTTCCCTACTGAACTGGCAACATGGCTTTTAAAGCAATAAATATTTGATAAGAGATGAGATGTAAAAAAAAAAAAAAAAGCCTAGAAGCTGAAGGGCCAAAATGCAGCAAAGTGAAGTTTAAAACTGAAGAAGACCCATCACAACTGACATGATTTAAATCAAAGGGACAACAGGATTTGACTTACAAAAGTTCTATTTACACATCTGTCAGGTAAGACAAGTGCACCCATTTCAAAATACATCCATGTTTGAATGCACATCTGAGTACCGTTCAGCAAGAAGTTTTGAAGAGAACTTCAGTTTAATAAACAAAGCTAAGTGGGGAGAATTTCAGTTTGCACTTGACATGGTATTTAAACAAAACCAAAGGGCTGAAACTCAATATTTAGACAAAGAACACAGTTCACTAATCACTAGGCAAAGAAAATGGTCCACAGCAGGTGGCACACAGAACTCCCATATAAAACAAAGGTCACAAATATTTTGCTTTCAGGAAACATAAAACAAAGGATTGATGTGTCATTTACAAATACATAATATAAAAACGCACAGCCCCCCTTGAACAAAAATCCATCAAATGTTTTTTATGTGATTTCCCCTATCCCCACCACCCCTTTACTAAAATAGGCCATTCTGGTGAATTACTAGCATCTGCCATTTTGTCTTTTAAAATTAAAAGAGTGACGGGCACATGAGCTGTGCAGGCTGTAAGAGAAGTGTCTTATAAAAGAGAGTCAGAGCTGGCCGAAAACATTTGGACAAGCGGGTCTCAAAACGGTGTGTTTGAGTTTCACTTCTGTTTCTCACTCTATAAGACACAAAAATAGCTTAAGAAACTACACACTGGGCCCAACCCATGGAGTGATCATTTTCCTCCTATTGCCCTCAATATGAGGGAGTGCTTCAAGCCTCCTTCCTTGGACACCTCATCCCTTTCTAACCCCGAGGAAAATACGTAGGAGGGGTGCTGCCCCGGGCCCTTCCATACCCAGAGTACAGCTGGGTGCCGGGTGCTCTTCCTGGCCAGTGTGCAGTAAGGCATTTCCCTTCTAAGGAGTCACGTTCACTTTCTCAGAAGCAACTTGGCAAAATCAGCATTGGACATCTTGGGTGCCTCGGCTGCTGAGGCGGTGACCACCGGCTGCGGGGCAGGGCCGTTCTCGGCCTGGGCGGCTGTCTCGCTCGGGCGCTGCAGGGCTCGGGGCAGCAGGGAGAGCTGGGTTCTCCCCTTCCCCCGCCTGGAAGAACAAACACTGGATGTACGCTTGCAAAGCAACCATTCGCGGCCCCTGCTTTATTTGCGAAAATAAGCCAGAATGGTCTTTAACCACCCAAAGCTACAAAGTGAAGACCATACTTTCCGGGCTCATTTCTGTAGTTTGTTAGTAGAGAAGTTTCTCGAAATGTGCAGAGTACCAAGTTAAGAGGTGAAGAGTAAAAACCAGAAAAGGGAGATGATCCCTGTTCTCTGTGACTCTAATATGCAAAAACCAGTTTAACAAACTGCCGTTTTCACAATCTTGGCAAAGACCAACCCTGTGCAACAGTCACACGTAGGGTGGATACAAATGCTATCCTCTTTTCAGACCTCACCAAACCACCTCACGATTTTGCAGTCTCCTTCCTACCAGGTGAAAAGCTAGCCCTTCTGATTATAGCCAGTGTAGACTACCCCGGCAAGCATGCGGTTGTCAGGTTCTGAATCCACACGTATGCATTCTACTGCCAAAGAAGACTTTAAAATAATCATTGCCTAGAAACCAACTGACCTCAGATAAATCACATGTGTAAACTGGCAAACACCAGGAAGGGTTGCACTTCCGGGCTTGCACTCTGCAGGGAGCTGCTCTGGGGAGTGACAGTGAGCATCCCCAGGAACAGCAGGCCCTGGCTTCCCGCCCCAGCTCACTGCACTAGCAGGACACGAATCCACCGCGGTGCTGGCCAGGGCCGAGTTCGGGCAGGGTAGCATGCACACACTTACGCTCCATAAATCTGCCGAGGCACCATGGCGCCACCTGGAGCTTTCCTTGCCTCTGGCTTCTCTGGAACCTTCCTCTGAGGGGGATTGCTGATGGCCACTTTGATGACATTGTCTTTGATAGTCATGCCATCCATCTTCAGTACAGCCTGTGATGCCTGGGACTCATTTTCATACTCCACATAGGCCAGGCCCTGTAGGAGGCAAGATCCAAAGCCGGATCAGGTGTGGCCGAGCCAGGACCCAACTTCCTGCCTCAGTCCAGAAGCCAGTACCCGGCAGGCAGCCCAACATCAGGTTCCCTTCCCCACCACCACCATCCTTTGGCTATAGGTTTATGCACTGGCCCTACCCTTCCTCCCTGTTTCTGCAACTGACTGTAACTTCACATAACCTTTGTGAGGTCAGCGTACCTTGTGCTTGCTCCAAAAAAAAAAAAAGGAAAAGGTAAGAAAAGATAGGGAGGGGAAGTGGGACAGACAGACCAGTATAAATCCAGCAAGAGCAAATGAATGAGGCAGCTGGACACAGGGTGAGCCCTCATGTCTGGGCCCTGGCCCCTCCTTACTTCATGCTCTTCAACTCTCCATCAACCCAGAGGGCTGGGGGAAAGGGAGGTAACCCAAACTCATGCCTAAACAACTACTCGGAATGTGGTACGAAAAGGATTTCACAGGACACTGAGGGGAGCTAGCGGGAGGACGTGATGGGGTCTTGGACTGGAGGAGGTGCCTGGAGGCCTAGTGAAGAAGCAAGTCTGGGCAGGAGGGTGCACACAGCTAGCGGTCTGCACTGTGGCCCCTGCTAATTCGTGGGAAGTTTTCTTTCCCCCAATGCCCTATTATTTTTAGTATAATTAGAAACAGGTTAATCTGACTCCAAATGCACATAGAGCCAAGTGTCCCTATTGTTCTGTTGTTTGTTTCTCAGCAAACAAGGAAGCCACTCAGAACCTAATAATCTGAACAGATGGAGAACTAGGTTTGCCCAAGCCTCAGGAGGCTAACATTGTCTGCGCAGACGCTGACCTTCGGTTTGCCTGCCCGGTTGGTAACCAGCCTGATGTCCTTCACGGTGCCATGAGCCTTACAGATCTCTTCTAGTTCCTCTTTAGTGCAGGAAAACGGCAGGCCTGATACAAACAGCTTGTGTTTCTCCAGGGCAGTGCTGTACCTAAACACCTACAGGAAGAAGGGAGGGAAACAGTCAAACTCCCATGGCCCAGCCCAGCGCACCATACTACAGCCGGTACCAGACTCGGCCACAGGCCTCACCCCAGCCAGAGACCAGAGCCAACTCTGGGTGCTGCAACTGTTAACAGGGTCACCCTGGGCAAGTCACTTAACTTCTCAAAGCGCCCCCTTTCTGCCCCGGAACATGGCAGGGATGAAAGCCACTATTCTCAGAGTTAGGGTGAGGATCTCACAAGGTAATAGAGTAAATACTCTGCATGACCCCTTGCCACTCCCTCAACGTTCAGTGGCAAGTAGCCATCATTGTAATTTCTAATTTTCTCATCACTTGTCAACTAGGGCGAGCTCAAAGTGACCAAGCCCTGAGTCAGGACCTCACCTACCCAGCTCAGAACAGACCCTGGTTAACGTGTGAGTCTAGTTCTTAACAGACTACAGATATTCCATGTAGATTCTAAATGTTAGCTGCTGCAGGCAAAAAGCATTCAGGAACCCGACACGAAAGGCGTTTTCTGCACAGACCCACCTTGAAATCAGGATTTTTGCTCTTATCCACACAGGGGGAAACAAACATCGGCCTCCCTTCTACAGTCTTCCGGTCCAACTGCAGCGCCTGCAGGGCCGACTTCTCCTCTTTAAACTC